ATACAGTATTGAGAGATCATCTTGATGCCGCAACTGTTTCGAAAGGGACATCTAAGGATATCCAAAATGATTTGCTCGACTCAATGTATAAAATTTATTTACAACATTTGGCTCTGGAAATTGAGAATTGCCAGTTCCTTTCGATTCAGTCTGACGAGACAACTGACATCACGTGCGTTTCCCAACTGGCTGTGATTTTTCGGTTTGTGAAAGATGGTAAACCTACCGAGAGATTTCACAGCTTTGTACCAATCGTTGATCGCACGGCTTGCGGGATATCGGCTGTACTGAAAGAAGTGTTACAGCCTTACAACGCGAAGTCAAAATTGATAGCTCAAACTCATGACGGCGCGGCAGTCATGAGTGGGTCGAAACATGGTGTTCAAGTTTATATAAAAGAAGATTTTCCTCATGCGCATTTTTTACATTGTTATGCACACCAATTTAACCTCGTTATTAAAAATATGTGTCTTGATACCCCTCTCGTCCGTATATTTTTTGCAAATGTTTCGGGGTTTTCTTCATTTTTTTCCGCTTCGCCGAAGCGCTCTGACCTCCTTCGCCAGATATGTAGCCGCCGTCTCCCAGCTTGTGCACCAACACGTTGGAACTTCCAATCACGCGTGGTGCAGGGCGTGTCCGAAATTAGGTCTGAGCTCATTGAGTGTTTCAATGGCATTCAGAGCTCTCCGGTTTGGGACGAACGCTCTGTGAGGGAGTCGGCAGGTCTAAAGCGTTAGCTAGAAGATGGTGAGTTTTCATTTTTTCTCGCTTTTTTCTCCACAATATTCTATCACGTGGATGTATTATACGGCGCATTGCAGTCAAGGCTAATGGATGGAGCGTCTGTGCAGTCGTGTATTTCAGACTTCTGCGATACTGTATCTCGTATCCGGGAAACAATAAAATACGACGACACATGGAGTGCTTCTTTACGCCGCGGGCAAACAACGCAGCGCTTGATTTTGTCTGCAAAGGAATGCTGTGACATTCTGGTGAATCAAATAGGCGATCGTCTGCGCACTGAACACCTTGCCGCGTTCTCTTTGATGAACCCCAAAAATTTTTAAAAATTTGCACGTCAATTTCCCATCCATTTGTTGGCTACTGTCTCCAAATTTTACGCCATGATAAACGTGGGTAAATTGGAAAATGAATTGCGATGTATATACACCAATCAAACTTTTTTGAACATCACATCAACTTGCGCGCTCTATGGGTTCCTCATAGATAACACTCTAGTAACTACCTTTGCGGCGTCTGCAAAATTTCTGGACATCATTTTGACGACGCCTATTTCTTCCGCCGACGCAGAGCGAACATTCAGCACGCTGAAGCGTATTAAAACGTATCTCAGAAACACAATGAAGCAAGATAGATTAAATTCCTTGGCTGTTTTATCTATTCACAGAGACGTTATTTCTGAGATGCATGACTTTAATCAGCGCGTTATTGAGCATTTTGCTTCCAAGAAACCGCGGCGTGTTGCATATATGTTCAAGCAGTAGAAGTCTAGCAGCATATATATCTATGAGTGAGCGACGCATGTCCTTATCTTTGCATTAACTTTCCTTTCTTCATAGTAACGTTTTAAACCTTATTTTAGGTTTTGTCTGCTTTCCCGAAGTTTCTGTTAATATGTCATTGTATTTATCTGGGTAAATATTGTCTTTCCTTTTGAAAGAGGTTTCAAAATAAATTATGTCTATATTTATTGATCCCTTGACTTGGACCGGTTTTGAAGACACTTTCTTATCGTTAAAAATTGTCGCTTTTGCCGATTGGTTGTTACCGATGGAATGGTTTTTATACTCATAAAATGATGGGAGAACTTACAGCGCTCATCCTGTCCCCATCCTGTGACTTGGTCCCGCAGTAGCTTGCCCCGGTTGTCAAAATGACCACGCGCCGCCACTGTTTACGGATATACCCAGTGATGGGATTCAGCCGGTTCGCACCGGTTCTATCGTAAATATATGTTCTATAGAACCGTCTCAGGAAATTTTATGAGATCAGCGAACCGGTTAGCTTTACTGGTTACTGTCAATGTTCTGTTTGTAACAGAACCGGCTGAAAAATATGATATTTGTGATGGAACCGGCTGACAAAAAATTTGAATCCCACCACTGGATATACCTATATGTTTCTACTTTAACTTGTGATATATATACCTAAGAAAATTCACCCTATATCGTACTTTACTATTGAAATTGTTTTAATTTTGAAACCATCAATTTTATCAAAAAATTATCTAACCACGTGCCGCTTACAGGTGGACTACCGATAGCTAATTCAGTAATTTTAGGGTAATTACCGTAATCACATCGTTCGTGAGACTAAATTTTGATTACTGCAATTAAACTAAAGCTCCACATCAGGCATAATGAAAATTAAGTTATACAACTATTTTTTTGAGAAACAGAACTAAAAACTGACAAATAACACGCAAAACTATAAAAAGCGAGGTAATGTTTACAACCCTGCTTGAACAACACAACTGTCTGGGCGGCTGTAGAAACTGCAATTATTTCTTATTGGGTATGGTTTAGCGTTAAGGCAATAAACAAGAAAATCGATGCTCGGGAAAATCCAAATGTTAAGTAGCTAAGTACCGGTAATAGGCTATTGTTATATGCAAAATATTGTTTTCCATATGGTTTCAATAATAGACACTAGAATAGACTCAAAGAAGCCAAGAAAAAGCCAAACGGAAATTATGAAGCCAAACGAGTTTGAAAAAAGCCAAAAATGGCAAATTTGGCCTTAAAATGCCAATATGGCAACCGTGGTTACAGGCCAGAGACAGGAAGTGACATGTTTCCAGAACATTCTAACTATGACGTCATACAATCTCGCCTGTCAATCATTAAAGACACTGCTGCAAACCGCTGCAATAACACTGTTACTGTTGAAACTGGAGACTCATCCCCCTGCAAGTCGAGAATCCCTACCTCACCTAACCTCGTAGAATTGGATATGTGATCGTATACTTTTTCGTACATTTCCTTACGAATCGGATTTGAAAAGTCCAAATGTCAAAGACGTTTATTTTATCAATCTTTACACATATTCACTGGAAAAAAACAGGGAATTTGTTATTATCAATATTATAATTATACTCTCTGTGATGATATTTGACAACAGTACATTATGGCAATATATTGTGTGTGTTGGTTTAAATTTGTGTAACTGAAACAAATTTTTAGTAATTGAAAATGGAAATAGTCGCCAGAAGGTCATTTATTTTTGTCAATTATTTTCTGAATCCAATGAGTTACGATAATTCACCCAAACCTTAGTTTTTCGTGCCCGTATATTTGAGTATTGCCCTCTTGTAATTTTTCCTTGACTTTTTGTTAACAAACACTGAGGCAATGATTATGTACAGGCGGCTAAGAACGTCATCACGAAACAGATTGCACCCAGCTCTCAGACTTCCAACATCAGCATATATTGCAATAGTGCGATGAATTGAAACAGTACCTGATTTTGACCGTATTAATTTTGATTGGCATGATAAGATACAATAAATTCGGTTTATATATACTATGCCTTCCTCAAACGAAGCACACTGCCTCTTTTTTCCATTGAATATTTATTTGTACAATTTTCTCATTTAAGATTTTAATTTCGTTTGCCTCAATTTGTTGGCCAAGAAGTGAAGTTTGCTTCCGAGTTCTGAAATATGACAAAAACTAGATTAAAACAGGTAATCCTGCATTTTCATGTTTTTTAAGTCTTTGTGGTTGATTGTAATCAGACACAGTAGAAATATAATTCCACAAATTGGACTGGAATTCCAGACATTTTCATTCATCAAATATACATGGCATTTGTTTTTGTCGACATAACCGGCAATCTTCTTGTAATAAAACACTTCTTGCGGCTTCAGGAATGCTGATCATGCTTCATGTCGATGTGGAATATCATTAGAATATCTATCTGTTCTCAAAATGATTTTTGCCGTAAAATTTTTACGAAATAAAAATACGTTATTATTATTTTTATTACATGAGTGGCCAGTAGGATGTAATTCCGAGATTGAACTGCCTCCTTCATTGTCACTGAAATATTACCTGGTATACGAATATTTTTCCTAATGTGCTTGTGACAATATGCAAGTCGATGGAAAGTGATATCAAAACAGGATCATAAATAAACGGGATTGGATCCATCTGCCAATAAGTTCGTTTTGGGATTAACGTTGATAAAAATTTCATCAAATGAATGTCTTGTTGCAATTGAAAAAATATATATTTCAAAAGTAGATGATGAGATATCGTGATGCTGGTTTTATGTTAAACAGTCTTTAGTATAAAGTACTTCATGACATAGAATTTGTGATCAGATGAAAATTATGAATCTGTTAATAATAAGCACTATCCGAGAAAAAGCAAATTTGTGTTATAATATTATGAAACCAAAACAAGTGTTCAAGCACAGCGAAACTGGATAACTAAATATGGAACAAATCCAGATAGATGGAAAAGAGAAAACAGAGTTTTATTATAACATACGTGAAAGCTGCGAATTGGCAACGTTGTAGTGACTGAAAAGCATACACAACGGGAGAGCTGAATGTATATATTTCATGGAAAATTGTGAATATTTAGATACTATCTATACAAAGCTTTTTCGATTAAGAAAAAATTATTGAGAGAGGTTGATTCAAAGCGTCGAAATAAAATACTCATAGATGTTCTATTTCGATGTTAATTTGCCTAAGCCTATTCGGAGAATAGCAAAAGCCAATCAAAATGGGTTGTGATCCCTACCACCTCAATATCTCTCGAGTGTTCCCCTAAGCTAGCGAGTTGCCTTTGACAATTCTCTGATCATTCTCTGTCTATAAATATGCCAGTGATATTTCGGTACATCTTGAAATTCGTAAAATTATGACGCGCGTGCTTATTTGCTTCGAGACTCGTTTTCCATAGAAAGTTAGGGATTTATTCGTACCGCAACGTAACCTTGATTCAGTCATCAAGTTTGCAACAACGTTGGATGCTATACAATTTATTCTTTTAATCAATCAATCTTTTGTAACAAAAATTTTAACGAAGAAAACCATTTGTGACACCAGAAAATATTTTGAACATCTCATTCTTCAAAAGTGATACATGGATTAACAATTCGAAAAAACAATATATTATGTGGTTCGGTATGCAGTCTTTCCAGGTTTAGCTCTGCGAATATATCACAGTAAGAATCTTCTCACTTGATTGCAAAGCGTTTAATCAGCAGTTTTCTATTTCACTGGCTAAAAGAAATTATGCTCAGTTGGAACTTGTGTAATATATATTAAGAAAAAAAAACGAACAAAACGTGCAATTTAAAATAAATACTGTGCAATAAATGTACAAAAGCTGACAACATATACAGTGTGCAAATATCAAACATTCAACTGTTTCGGGTTATTGGTTTCCCATGGCGACAAATTTAAAAGTTATTTACTGGTTCATAAGGTTACACATTGGTCGATTGTTAAGGCCATGAATTATGTAATGTTGGCGTAACGTCTTTTTAATTTCTACGGATCACCGGTAACATTTTCAACAAATATCTTTAACTTTTAGCCTTCTACTTTTCCCGATACTTCAACCCAATAATATTCAAGTATAGTTTTTTTTTTATGATTCAGAATTATGCAACAAATTTGTTAGTATCTTGGAATTTCGCTTCCGATGCCATCTAAGCTGTTAATCATACGGTCATAGAAAGTAAACAAAAGCGAATGTAGCGATGACGCATTGATACTAAAAGAAGATAATTATCGAAAAACAAAATGAAAACACAGCCAAAGTGAAGTTTTTCGTGCTTAGGCTCAATTCGTGATCAGACAAAAACATAAGACAATTTTAACTTGTTTGGAAAAGCGCGTCAACAACAATTAAACATTGAGCAAAATTATTTCCACGGTCAATTATTATGTTTGCAAAAGTAATGGCTTGTTTCATAACGAATGTACTTATTTTGTTACTAGTCAGTCACAAGCGTGTGCCACATGATTATGATTTGAAGAAGATTAAAAAATTGTATAAACTCAAATTGCACTCTTTCAAACAAGTACGAATCGTCAAATGTAAATATCCGTTGTTAGGCAACTGGTCATTAAATCAAATAAAGAGGATGATTTTCTTCGTTATCTCGTCTGTTTTTTGATCCTATGGCACCTCGTACTCCGCCGAAAGCACGTACAAACGGATTCTTCGAAAGCAACGGTTCTTCTCTCATGTTATCATATTTTGGAATGATGTATCTTGCCTCAGAGTTTTCGCTCATAATAGAAGGATCTTCTTTTTCCTCCAACGTTTGCCAAAAGTGACTGATTTTTAGGAGATCGATCAGATACGGCAGGTTGGTAGCTGACGACAACGGAGCTCGGTCAGAATCACTTTCGAAGTTATCGAGCTTATTTTGGTGGTGGTGTCTTGCCAGAATCGCCTTCAGTTTTGGACTCACATCATATTCCACAGTATCATCGAAATTACTTGGATCTTTCGATGCCCGTCCCGCGAAAGGTCCTACGACAAGAGGGCTAGCGGTATCTAAAAACATAAAACAGTAATATAAAAACTTTTATCCCGAGAGCATGAAACGTCGATTCAAATAATTCAACTTGTAAAAGCCAATTTGTCGCAGATAGCCAATGCCAATGTTCCAGTTGCCAAACGCTGTGGTTACGTTACAATTAAAAGAGATCCTGACGGTATCATCATATATGACAATTTTTATGTCGATTTCCGGTAAATGGTTTGGAATATTTGAAGACTTTCGTAGCATGATTTGAGATTTACTTTTGATCATCAAATATCATCCTACACAAAGCGATGTTATCAAGTCATGTGTGATCACAAGTCCAATCGAATAAATATAACCTACCACATCTCTCATTGAATTCCAAGAAATTTTTCCGACCATAAAGATATTTGCATAGGTCTGAATTACTTGTATGAATTTCTCTTGTGTCGTCGTCTCCATCAAAAGCAGCATCTGTTAGAATGAGAGAAAAATGTCACCGATCTAAAATAAATGCTACAAGATTATCTATCTCTCGGATATGAGCTATTGTTACATTTTATCACCGAGTCGAAAAGCATAAGTCTGTTTAATGGATTTTGCTCATATTAACGTTTACGTTACTAAATAGCGTTTTATAGTTTATAATAGAGCAATAAACACAAATATCACTGACACAGCCGAAAACTATTTAAAAAGTGATATTCTTATTTATTTTAAAATTATCCAATAATAACTGCAACTTTTTAAAATTTTCTTCCTGTGTTGTAGATTATCGCGCTTTCAAGGTATTCTATTTTTGTATGTTTCGTCATCGCTTGCAACTCGAGAACATTAGAATTCCATGTTATATATCCTAAGCTTATATTTTCACTAAAATATCCAATTCTTGGCTCTCTAATGTGTTGTAAAAAAGCACAAAGTATGTGAACATTCCACTACATCGTACATGGTGGATCGGATAGTCAAATTGCATACAAGAATAGAATGCGAGAGTGATTGCAAACTTAAGTTTTCATTACACACGACGCACATCAGCTTGTCGCGGCTTATTCTTTATCGTCAGTAAATTACCCGAGTTGTATTTTAACGATCGCATCGAGAGAAGCGCGGAATGTGCGATCTCTGCAAATCGATTGCGTTTCTGCTACCTATCCTTTCGCGTCGGAAGATCCTATATGTATGGCTGAGGAATCCTGATCTTGGTCAGATGAAAGACTACGTAAATATATCTATAAATATAATCGAGAATTTTCGGCAATGATTTTAGCTTATAATAATTGTTGTTGTATATATGATGGTCAAGGCGCCGGTTATCTCTCTTCGTTTTGACTTTTGTCATCGCAAAGTTTATCACCGCGTATTGTGACTGGCTCGATTATTTCGTCGTGAACGATACAACTTGTATTTTACAGCATTACTTCACGAGGGAACATTGAAATAAAATATTTATGAGAAAAAAACAGTAGGTTTTTATACACCTCTGAATTGTTGTTTATTGTACGCTGAAAAACTGTTAGTATATTAGCAAAACAATGGTTGTAATATCCTTGTTATTTAAATCGAAATCAAATTTCGAAAACCAATGGTAAGAGTCATACAGTCGAATGAGCGTCATGACTGGAGGTTCTGCTATAGACCGATAGAACGAACTTTCACATCAATCATAAGATTTATTTACTATGAAATTCAAAATATGTTATTTTGTTTTTTCCAAGTTTGGATACAAATAATGTGTGGAAGTCGGTCAGATCGATAAGACGATTTTATCTTTCTTCGCATCTTAAGAGAAACCGATACAGCAGACGCTGAATCAAAATCAGATAATATTCAGCCTGAAATTTACCGCAAATGTTTTTAAATGGGAAAATATGGAATCGCACCATGTGTTTTGCCACTTGTACCGTTTCCAAATTTATCTGATATGGCCTTGAATGATGGACTTGCGATAAAAAATTGTCATATCCCTACTTAAGTAGCGTTTTGCGACCGATGTAGTTCCCACACCCGAGAAATTTTTATCGCTATGCGTGTAACTCGAAACTAAAAGGTTTCATTTAATCCAAAATCGAACTCCAATAACATGTATTAGGTGAGGTTTTTAAATATTCCCAGCTACTGATGTTTTCCCAATATATCATCTCAAAATTTTACTTCCAAGTTGGCAAACGACATTCGTTAATTCAAAAATTAAGTTGATTAAATTAGAAATACGGCGTGTGGTTCGATTTATTTTGCATATTACAAAAAGGGTTCATTTCTTCTTGAGTTCGAAATATCAAGGTAGTAAGTATCAAGTCCTGTTTATACGGTAATTCTATATTTTGGCGTGTTTCCAGTGAACAAATTTAAATGGATTCCACGACCGAGACGTGATTTATACTTTATGTAAAATGCTCGGGATTGTGCGAGAGCGTGAAAATGTGGCCAATTAGCGATATCAGTGTGCAGACTAATTTGATTATCTCTCTATTAATGATATTTTTGCGAACTGGGACCTACAGATACCTTTTCCAGTATCAAATTAGGAGATAATTCATGGCATCTCGGGGGAATTCATCTTTTTATCACGGTTGGACTCGTCAGTTAATAAGGATACGCGGGAAGCAATAATCCAATACTTTACGGAACCTTTTTCTAGCGATCAAAAGATGATTCACCGATTATAACGCCGATATACAAATAGTGTTTTGGTAGAGAGAATTCACATTACTCCAATAAATGATTTGAATAGGCTTATTATCCATGCAAATGTACAGTCCCAGTTTAAGAGGCCTATTGACTGCTTCCTGAGCAGCTTCGTGCTTCCTAGCGGAGGCTGGGAATACATCATTCGTTCGTTATACGTGATAATGTCTCTTGCTGACACAAGTACGTCTTTTTACGCACTGTACGCAATTTAAATATGACAGATTGAGAGTTTTATAACCGGAGAGCAAATGAGAATATTGATTTTTCCAAAGGTACGAATATACAGGTCCGGATCAACTAATTGTCCAAATGGCCAATTAGGCGTTTCATGAATTATATATATGGTTTTACATTCTCGTTAGCAAATATTCATCAAACAAGTAAAATAAAACATTCGATTTTGCTCATCTGCTTGCTTGCGATTGGCATGCCATAGACCAGTGTTGAGAAATCAATTAATTTCAAATTCAAAGCTACACAGCTGTGTTTATTTACACGGGGGTGTGCAACAGCCGCCCGCGGGCCACAGCCCGACTCGCTAGGCTATTTAGTGCAGCCCTTGTCAACACTCAGATTATCCCCATCAAGCATAAAATCCGACAGTTTATGTTTAAAACGGCGCTCACATGGGTAAAAAATACATGATGTTATTTGCTCTTGTCGCTGCGTTAATTCTTTCGCTGTTTTTTCGGTGTATTTACTACTATGAGGCTAAGCGATAAACGCATACTCTTTTCTTGCCTTTCCCGCGAGGCTCTGTTTGTCGCTAATGTATTTCGTTGCTGCACACTTTCATAACGCTTGTTCACAATCTTATATTGTGACGTAATAATACCTCATTGTGGGTGCTTGGAACTTCCAAGCCACTTGCTTTCAAGAATTCGATGCAGTTCAGTAGCTTATTTTGCTACTCTGTGAAAACTAAATTTTTCTGTGTCCCAGCTATGAGTCTTTAAGTTATTTATTTGGCCCACCGACAAAAATGTTGCTCACCCCTGATCTACAACAATATTTGATAGCATGAATTTCGTGATATTAGGCCGCTGCGTTTGTGATCTTGATGAATTTCCATGAGGAAAAACAAATGATTTGTGAACTTGCTTCATATTCCATAGAATTGCGTGCCGTTTTTTTTTTTACATGTTTGTATCTAAAAAATGCTAACGTCATATTTCGGAAATTAAAAAAGCGATTATTTAGAGTAAATTTTGATTCGGAATTGAAGGTACGCGAAAATTCACTATATGCAATAAAAACGCCATTAGACCCGAATTTAAGCTACAATCACTCAAAATAGCTTTGGAATTCATAATTTAAAAGATGCGCTGACTTATTTACTCGCTAATTTCGTTATTTAAAAAATGCGAATTTTTTGTAAACATAGTTAAGTATACATACACGTACATACACGTGCATCATCTTGATAAAAATTGCGTTACGTAATTATATTGGCGGATAGGTTGAACTAATTGTATCGGATCCGATGCAGAAATGTGATTTGATATTACTTGCAGCTTTTGCTTGCTTTAGTGTATCACCCTGTATCAGTTATGCTTATAAATGCTAAACATTCTAATAGTATTCATTCTATAATATTACCACTTTGTATAAAAATGTTGTCCAATATTATAAATTGTCTTACCCGTGGTATAACACAGCAGCGCAGCAACAAAGAGAACACCTCCCGACACACGTTTTCCAAGAGTTGTGACGATCATTCTGTGACGTGTCTTCTTTTAGACAAGCAAAATATCGGTTGAAGGTAATTTGATTTTATTTCAAAATATTTTAAATCGTAATCTAGATGAAGAGGCAATACAAGATATTATCATCCGCGACCAAAACGTTGTACTGATAAACACTAGAATGGAAATTCATTGTAGTCAGCAATATTTGATTATTAAAGCTAATTTATTGTATTTAAACAACTTTTTAACTTGTTATAATCATCAGCCGTTGTTGGTTTGCCGCCTCGGTCCTATTTTCGATAGATCAGCCTACTTGAACATGCAGTACGTCACAAACCACCAGCTTCTTCGTGTAATTGCGTCAATTCTTTATCGATGAAATCATGTGTGGGATGTAAGTAGCAGAAGAGCTGTCAGGCTTTTAGGAGATAATATCGTCTCAAGCATCTACAATTGTTTGGTCTCAAAATACGAGAGTAATGTGGACCCATCACACAAAATAGTGTATTATATTTTCACATTTATTTTTCTTACTCAAACGCATTCCACTTCAAACATTTCTAAACCGCAATTTTCATCCTGAATTTTTTTTATATTTTCTTCCTGTGATTACCCCAACCCCCAAAACGACTCTGTGATGCTCGTATTTATAAATATGCGTTAAACATCTTGCGGGTAATCAAGATCGGAATTTTAAATTATGTGTGAGACCAAATCCGATTTCTGCATGGTGAGTTTGGTGAAAAAACTACTTAAGAATTAAAATTAGGTATTTAGAAATAAAAATCATGTAAAATGGAACATTTAACAAATCGATGCAAAATAAACAATTTTAGATTGAAGTTGAAATAATTTATTTTAGTCACCAAGACATCCCGAATAATCAATACCAAAATTATCTATACAAAGATATAACATCTATATTATAAAAGAGCAAATATAGAAAATAAAAAATGCGCAAATGTAAACTATATACCTGCTGAGCGGTACAGAAGCAGACACACGTATTTGAAACCGGAGCCCGACTTGGCACCGGAATTTGTTATTTAATATTTTCATTTTTGTAGTTTAAAAACTAAGGTAATTACACTATTTCTTACTTTTTAACATCTTTTCACTATCTGTTCAACTGAAAATGACGATAAAATTACTTAGAAACTGTTTGTGTGTCGCAATGCCCCGTCAGGTTCATACTTCTGATTAGCATGAACTGTTGAAATTATTATACCCAATTTTAAGCTGATCCTTGTTAATCGGCCAATCCCAGCTTTGGCGAGTGAATAATGCAGTAGTACTATCACATTTCATATACAACAAAGACACAGGTGTTCCGGTTTCAGGAAAAAGTGCATTCCGAGGGAGAAAATATTCGAAACTAAAAGTAATGTCGAAATAATTGAAAGATTTATGGTGTTTATCAGCGCATATTTCATAGCGAATATTGCAATATCAAAGAATTTATACAGATATGCAAATTTGGAAATTTCGGGATCTGAATAGCACAATATTTAACGACCATACCCAGCTATATTGCGGAACAACGTTCGAAAATTTTAGTGCAAAAAATTTCCGTGCAAATTTTACATCACAAAAAAATTCTGTACGAAAGTTTAACTCTGAATGTGTTCCGAAACAAGAACCGATACAACAAGACAACAAGTTCCGGATATATCTGAGCTACTTTAAATTACCGCGCTGCAGCAGATGCAGTCAGAACACTAACCGAATTGATATTTTCACCACTCTAAAAAATTCCTTCGGGTATTGAAATTGTGCCATAACTCTCGTAAAAGAACATTAGCATCTAAATGTATACAATAAAATCTAGAATTTGGCAAAAACATTATCAACCAACGCAAAAATAGGCAGCCATTCCATTACTGATCCACAGTTTGTTGGCATCCAGTCTTTTTTACAAACTGCGAATTAAATTGTTCTCCGCTCTTTATATTGTAATTGGCTGCGATAGAACAAATGGAAGCGAAAAAGGCGGCCGAACGCTGTGAAAAATTTCAGCTGATCGAATGGCATACGCCGTTGATTGCCCGAGTGCACGTTTTGACAACGCCTTAACCATTAAATGGGGGGAATGAAACGTGGCTACAGGGCATGCTAAATTCAAACAAAAGAGAAACATCTACCAGAACTGGTAAAAGTGACACAATTACGGAACAATCACGCTGTGTAAGATTGGTATTCTAATAAGTTATACCCCTTACAAAGTTCGGTATTGAGTTTTTTGTGAATTTAGGAATCATTTGAAACCATAAAAATATGTCAAACCGGAATTTTCGTTTGGTCCCAGCTTTAAATCTTAGACAACAACTTATTTTCTGATTTTGATGAAAATATTAATTAAATAGAATAACCGTAACCGTAACCGTAAAAACACATCGTAATTGGACATAGATCTTCATTTATCAGCTAGAACCATTAATTCGACGTCTCGTGCGTATGAGGGAAATTTCTTAATACACCGTTTAAGTAAAATTCGATTTTTTTTTCCGTTTTGATTTAATGAGTATACGAGTATACCATCTGGATATCATTTCTCCAAAATTAAATTTAGAAATTTAGTGTGAGATCTTTTCTCCATTTTAGAAAATGAAAAATCCAAAATGGCCACACTCTGATTTGTTAGAAGAAAAGGGGTAAAAAGAATTGGTGAACTAGTGAGTGGTGAACTAATAATTTTTTTACGAAATATTAATCTATCCGATTTACAACGACAATTTTTTAATTTTTTTTCATAATTACAGATTGATACATTCCAAACAGCTAAAAATAAATGGGGTAATATATTGATTTTTTGGTCACCTGTAGTGTGTGTACCAGGTTAGGGTGTGGCCATAATTTTATTTTGAATTTCCCTATTTTAGTTCTATTACGAGTTTGGGAACTGTCTGTGTTAGCCAAGTGAATATACCCACTGCCCATAGATTTCATTCTCTTTACACAACTTGATGTAGAGTATGCGAACAAAATTAGTTACCTCCATATTGGTACACATACTTCTGGAGCGCCGTTTTTTTTTTCCTATCAACTGTTCATATAATTCGTTAGCGTAATAGGAACTATCGAGTTTTTCACTCAAATATTTATATTTACATATGCCTGCCTTGATATAATTTCAAATCTTAATGATAGTTCCACGCAGCGAATTGCAGTCAAAATATTTGAACATGTCTGAAGTATCGTCGCAAATTGGGACCATTTTCAAATAAAGTTGAAATGTTATTGGAGAAAATATTCAGTCAATCATCATCTTCAAAATTAGAACTGAAATCTAGAAATAGATATTTGACAATCTAATTTATTGTTTTTGTTTCAATTAATAGTTTAAAAACGGTTACAATTATACAAATTGAGAAATAGCCCATGTTGCACACCTTATGAGAAAAGAACTCTAAGAAACTGATATAAATAAGGTGGTGTTTGTTCAGCGTAGATTAAATGAGGGGACTAATTATATTCTCCTAATTCAACCTGCTTGTTTGCACAATTATTCTTGTTATCGCTCGCGTCAATGAAGGAATACGAATATTCTGACAGGTCGTATGCATGTAAACGTTAGTTAAATTCATGGTTTTTGCTGGCTACATATAGTCACACGTACCTTTGTGTTAGATAAGAATCTTTGTATTTTTATACAGACACATTAATTACTAATGTTAATCACATTAAGGTTTGTGCTAAATTCGCGCTAACAATAGCGCCGCTATCAACTAGCACGTTTACGTGACAGGAAATCACTAACCGAACGTGGATGGGGAGGGTCAGGTAATACACACAACGAAAATAGACTTGCAGGATAGGTATTTTGAATACTCACTCGTGTATTTATCGTATATTTTTATCCGCCATATTGTTTCATGCATTACATCATGGAAGGGTTACTCATAGATACTGTCTCCGTACCGAATAAAGTTACCTAGATGTATCTAGAGACAAAGTAGATGAAACCAGCTAGCAAAATAATAGTTGGTTTCAGGTGGAGCGAAGCAGAAGTCAAGTCTTATTTGACCATAATGCTCGATCACGTTTTGCGTGCGATGCTCAAAATTAAGTGTTCGCTTTAACACGATGTAAGAAACGGTTTCGACCAATGTAAATTCTTATTATCGATGGCCGTTTGTTCATGATTTACTCTCTCGACTTCCATTATATATTCGGATCATCTAATTCTATCTGCCATTAACGACGTCTCACGTTTACTGAATATGACCCAACAATGAATAGAACGTAACGGGGCACAGTTAAGCTAGAGATTAAAGGCTTTTGCGTTTCCAAAACACGTTCGATTTCCACCTGGGTATCTTGTCACACGTTTAGAATCCAACATGCCGGAAAAACAGCGACATTTTGTTTCGATTCGACCGTATTGTTACGATGGAACATAAATATCACATATTTTATATATATCATACGAATATCGAAAAATCACTTATAAAGCAATAATTAGAAAGGCGATCCATGCGCAACGTTCAATAATGCATTGTTACATAATCAATCCATCCCCTATTCTAACCAAAGTTATACAAATTCCATTTTTTTGGTCATGTTGAAAAAATGCAGATCTTACAGCTGTTTTGGGCCCACGGACGTTTTGAACCAAACCCACAATGCCAATAACTTTTGTGTTATTACCATTAATGAAAGTATATGTGATTTTTTTCAGTAATTGTAATAACGGAATTAGTAATTGATATTCTGGGCCGAAACGTATGTAAGCTCTGGTTAAATCTTTTACTTATTCTTACGTAGTCCAATAAGAATTGGGTTATCTTTTAATTGTTCAAATTTGTTGAAAGGCCATTACCAAATACACGCTTTTACGAAAAGGATTAGCTTGTGAATTGGATCATTAGAAGTTCATTCCGTTGTTAGCAATATAGATCCAATAAACTCGTAAATGTAACTCCTTGGATAATTTTTTTATCATAAATGCTTTAAAATTGTATTGGTATATACATACCTATATCGCAGGTTTGTCGAAATTCACAACACCTTGGTTTTGGATTATCTGACAGACAATTTCTCCAAAAGTCTGAAATTACTACTAATACAGGCCAGGACGTACAAAGGAATTATTAAATATTTATCACTCCTATATATAGCGATCCAGTA